ACCATCTTTTATATGAGAGAGGCCCTCAAGTTAGAGGCTAATCTTGCAAGTTTGAAGCTACCTTCACGAGTTATCAGATTACTTTTGTGGAAAGTTAGATTTTAAATTAGCATTTGTTTATTATAGCATAAGCATACAGTATTTAACAAGGAGCCTATAACCATGGGATTGGAACACCTTAATCTTAACGTGGTTATCTCCACAATGACCGTTTGTGAGGTAAGGAAGTATCATTTGTCCCCAGGAAACCAAGACTTGCCCAAGAACAACGATGAGAGCAAGGAACTGAACTTAAGACTTCAGCAAAACTCACATTACAGGCTAGCACTTTAACCATTAGGCTATCCTAAAATCAAGGATGTTGTTCCAGTGTAAAGAGGGTCACAGCCTACTGGAAAGTTTCAAATGCCATAGTTTATAGGAACCCAAGAGTTTTCTTTGGAAGAGACAGTATGCATATTTCCAGGGCTGCCATCAGAAGTAAAGTTCATCTTAATAGATGCACTATGGACAGTGCTGCTACATGTTTCTCTGGCAGTGGCTACCTATGGATGGAAAAATAATTGGGGCACACATGAACATTGACCTTAATCATTATTTGCCACTAAATTTAAAATTGGCATTGGCTATAATGTGGGGAAGAGGGGAACAGAACTCATGATGGTTAACCTCAAAATGACCAAACAGGAGCACAGAGGCAGATGAAACGGTTCAAAATAAAGTGTTCTAGCCCAAATGGCCAGCTCCAGTATTCACAGTGTTCAGCTAGGCAAATTTTAAACACGTTATGAATACAAATTTGGCAGCCAGGAACCACTCCCTTAAGAACAGGAATAAGATGAGTACCCACTCTTCAGTTCTGGGACTGAAAATAAATGTCAAGCACAACACTTAGATGAACAATTGTATTGGAAGGGATGGTCTTCATGTGATATTGTGCTTCTTTAAAAAAACAAAACAAAAGCACAACAACTAACCTTTGCCAGAGACTATCTTTGGTGTCCTTAGAAAAAGGCTGCCATGCTGGAGATCCAGCATCTCTCCTCTCAGCTTGTCCTCCACGACATCAACAAGAGCCAGTTCATCAGCCAAATCCTACAGGAAGCCAGAGTTAGAATTAAAAAGCAGGTCAGCCTGCAGTTCACAAATAAAGTACTTAATTCAGCAACACAGCAGTGTAAATGTGGTTAAGAGACTGTTGCTGAGCAAGATGTTACTTGTTTAGTTACTTAACTGGAACTTTTACTTTACAGAGCAAAATATCAAAGTGCTAATATTTAGAGAAGTACTGGATCTTAGTATTTTTATATCCATACTGCACTTAACTGATTGAACTGTCAAATGTGCATACTGGTAAGTGTTCTCATGCATGTTCATCTGAACAAGACAGATTGAAATATGGAGTGTAAATTTACAGTTGCCTTTTCATAAACAATCACTATTTCATGGTGATAAGAAGCAAGCATGGTGTAAGCCACAGCATGCTTAACATGAGACAGTAATTCAGGACTGTGAACACAGTTCTGATTCAGATCACCCAAAGTTATTTCAGCTAAGGGTTACCTTCTAGTACTGTGATGTACCACAGCTAGTGACACACATTTACCTAAATCAGGGTCAAGCATTTCCCAATCTGAAATCACTTTCCAGTATATATAATGAATAACTCAACTTAAGCTTTCCAGCCATACAAAGGTCTAGATTAAATACATTTTGTCTGTGTTAATTAATCAACCCAGGATGGATAATTATGTGAAAGTCAGAAAGCAGAAAAATTAGAATAGATGATGTTGGATAATCATTTATAAGTGTTACCTGTTTGCTGGCTTAAATATAACAGAGTTATGAGTCAGAACCTGTCCCCCATCCGGCACACAAGGAAAAACTGTAGTTTACAAAAGGCGCAAACTAGCCAGATAAAGGAAAGGTCCAGAGGAACTACAGAGACTTTGGCCTAAGTGAGGGACAGCTGAGGTTTGCCACTTACCTTCATCAGGATGCTGATTGCACAAGCCATGCCAACTGCACCAACCCCAACAACAGTAATCTTGTTGTGGGCATGACCGTGCTCTTCCTTGTGGACATTGTGAATCAGATGCTCCTTGACAGACATTGTGTAAAGCTGAAAAGTATTAAGAGCACAATGTAATTTCTCTTCAGGTATTTGGGATGTTATAGATATAAATGTCTACATATGTCTACATAAAGCATGGGCCCTGTTATGATGGGTCCTATTGCTGGGGCTGGCAAGAAAGCAAGCAATGTTCACATTAATAACCTGGTGATATTGCCTGCATAAGAAGATGACTCAAAGCATTCGCTATGATTGGAAAACAGGCACTGATAAAGTGGTCCAGATATATACCCCAGAGGGGACTGAGGTCTGATAACGAGGCATAACTTACTAGGATAGATTAAAATAAGTAAATAATGTCGCTTGAGCAGTTGTCATTCTTCAGTCAAATATCCAGTGGTCAAATATGTGACAAAATATGTTCTGAGTTTGTCATTTGATTGCTAAAAAGATTGTTGGTCTTTTGGTGAGAGTCTGTTTATTGAGTAACTTGATTTAAACAAATTCCTTTAGTTGAATTCTACTATGGCAACCTTTTCTGTGGGGGACTGGTCTTAATTTTTACCTTTTTAAAATTAAATCTGAGAAACTGCTATTATTTTAGGCAGGTGACAGAGATCCTTGCCTGGGAAGAGGGACCTCAAAACTTGCAAGTCTGTGTGTGCTAGGAGAGATCTCCCTTTCTCCCCTGACATATTATGAAAACAAAACCACACCACAAAAGACCCCTAAAAGTGCTACTATAGTTCCCTCTTTTAAAAAATGTTGAGGTTCTTTTCCAATACACTAAAAAAAATTAAATAAATAAAAGGGAGGTGGGGAGGAGTGAAGGATGCATTTGAAGGGGCTGGCAACAAGGTATTGATTCTGCCACTGACAGGACACAAACTCAGATTTCTCCGAGTTTTGTAACATCTAGAGTAAAATTTTCCAAAATACTTGTAGTCACTTAAGCACTTTTGAACGTTTTTACCCTAGCTGTTCTAGATGAAAGGTGTGGTAGCCTCAGGTGCTGCTTCTGTGAACAGTTTGTCAATGAAGTCACTTAGTAGCCATTCTTAAGAAAAGCAAGCATGGAAAGTCACCCCTCTCCAGCATGTCCCTCTGGGTCAGCACTGAGAGATGTGGCTGGCCTAACAAAACTTGTGTGCAGCTGTGCTTCAGCAAATTAAGGAAAAGCAGAAAGGACAGTCTTATCTTCTAGGAATCAGGGACCACTTAATTGGTATGACAGCAGGTTCAATGCATGATTAAAGTGCTTCATCTCTCTGAGCTAGTATAAACTTGCCATTGTTAAGCAAGATGCAAGAGAGTTGCCATCTCAGTGTTTTCCCTATATTCAGATCCCATCAGATCTCCAGAATTGACCGCTGCTCCCATTTACTTCTACAGAAAGGGGAGGAGAGGATGGAGTGCTCTCATAGTAGCCAGTCTGCATCCAGTCGGTACTTGCCAACTATCTGAAGGCCAGCAGTATCCCTCCTCAGTATCTGCTTCTAGGTGAGCCACTATAGTAGCAAGTAAATATGTACCAGAATGTGTGGCAAGGGTTCTTCCTGGTACATGGGTTCTGCTTAGTGAAATACCAGGAAATTGCTTTTATTTAATTAAAGAGTGGACTCCATCAGTGGAAACATTTTATTAGATATGTCTCATATGCAAAGCCTGTGAGTCACTTCAGTTTTGGTATGAAATAACTACTTCAGTGCAAGTCCTCTGGGGCTGGGACTATCGTGTGTGTATAGTGCCAAGCGCAGAGGGCCCCCACTTGGATACCAGTTAATAAGGAAGCTGGTAATCTTAGTTATTTCCTTGGTGGGCAGAGTCCACAATTTGAGGCTTTGATACTGTAAATAAATATAATTATGGATATTACTTATCTTCTGAAGAAGGCATTCTGATACTTTGGTGATCAGTATGATAAGACTAATGTAATATAAGAATCTAAGTCCATACCTTCTTTAAGGCTTACTCTGAGAGGAAAATGATGCGTCAAGCCAGAAGCATCTAATCGGTTGCTAAATAGGGATTCTTAGGAATACTATTCCCCCCAAGCAAAGGGTTATGGACTAGCTAATATTTACAAAGCTACCAAATTCAGGCTGCATTGAGTTACTGAGCATGGGAGGTAGGGGCACAGCCTGGTCCAACTCAGAACTGCCTAGACATTAAAAGCTGGAGGCTGCAAGTGAGAGAGAAATAGTGGGAAAAGCCCTAGTCATGTCCTGTTTGTTCTTCCTTTCAGCATCTACTCTCTGCTGCTGTAACACAGGATACTGGGCAAGGTGGTTCTTCTATGTTCTTATGTGCACACAGGAGCAATGGAAGATTATGTCAAATGCTGATCCTATCCAATTAAGAAGTGGTTCTGGTCCGGATTTTGGTGTTTTAAGGACGTTTTCATTTTGCAGAAGCACTTCATAAGCCACAAGTTTTTCCATCTTAAAGGCCTCCTTAAACAACAGGCACATCATCCATTATTGATCAGCTCTAGTTTTGGTTCCTAAATATGCCCTGCGGGCACCACTTCTGAAAGAGCTGCACTAAGTGATATCATAACATAAGCTAAGAAAATGGATCTCTCTAGAACATAAAAATTTCCATTTACTGGGTCAGACCTTAGGTCTGTCTTGCTCAGTCTCCTGTGCTGCACGGGGGCAGAGTAGATGCTGAAAGTGAGAGTGAACTGGGTCCGATTCCCCCCCCCCAATGTTCCCCACTCACTTGCAGCCTCCAGCATTTAAGGTCAAAGAAGCTCTGATTCACAGGCTGTGCCCCTCACTCCCATGCTCAATAGCGACTGATGCCCCTTTCTTACAAGACTGTGTCCTATCCCTTTTTTAATCTGCCTAAGCATCAGCTTCCACAGCATCTTGGGGCAAAAGAACTTCCTTTTGTCGGTTCTACGCTTAATACCTACTCCTTTCATTTTGTGACTCCTCCTTGGGATGCAAGATGGGGAATGCAGTTCAGACTCAGGCAGTCCTGGCTCCAGTCCCCACTGTCTCAAGCCACAGTTCAACGTCTGTCTCTCTGTCTCTCTCTGTCTCTCTCATCAAACAAGCATGTTACAGCCGTGCTCTGCTACCAGCAGGCTCCTGCGTGGCTACATCCGGACTCCGGGGCGCAGAAGGAGGCGCGAAAGAATGTCTGGCCTCATATCCGGCTAGACTTGTGTGGCCTCTCTGCCCTGCCTCGTGGCTAGTGCCCCTGGGAGCAGAGCCAGCCTCAGGGAATGTCACCCCACGTTGGGATGAGTCACCCCACCACCCCTGGCCTTCAGCTAAAGCAGATTCTCCCGCCACCCCCCTTGGCACTGGATCAAGGTGAGTCTAGCGGAGATGGGACAGGAGCAGCCCTGGCTCCTTCCTTGGCTGGGCTCCCAGCAGCAACAGGGCTCTCCTGCATCTCCCGCCCCATGACACACACGGTGGCTGTAGCTGCCGCCTGAAATCGCCGCCCGTGAAGCGGGGCCATCCGCGGCCCCCTGCCAGCCGGGGAGCCCAGCGCAGGGCTGGAGAGGGCGCCCCCACAGAGCAACCCTGGCCTGGGGGAGGGAATCATCTGGCCACGCGGACTCAGATCCCAGCACGCCTTCCCGCCAAATCCATTACCCGGGGTCTCCTATGCAGCCCGCTCCCACCCCAGCAGGAACAGTGCAGTATAAGCCGCCCCCCTTACCGGGTCGGGATGGGCTGCGCTGC